AGCTGACCTACCCTGGGGGACTACCACAGCTGACCTACCCTGGGGGACTACCACAGCTGACCTACCCTGGGGGACTACCAGAGCTTATCTGCCCTAGAGGCTACCACAGCTGACCTATCCTGGGGACTACCACAGCTGACCTACCCTGGGGACTACCACAGCTGACCTACCCTGGGGACTACCACAGCTGACCTACCCTGGGGGACTACCACAGCTGACCTACCCTTGGGGACCACAGTTGACCTACCCAGGGGGGCTACCACAGCTGACCTACCCTGGGGGACTACCACAGCTGACCTACCCAGTGGGCTACCACAGCTGACCTACCCTAGGGGCTACCACAGCTGACCTACCCTAGGGGCTACCACAGCTGAATTAGGGTAGGTCAGCTGTGGTAGCCCCTAGGGTAGGTCAGCTGTGGTAGCCCCCTAGGGTAGGTCAGCTGTGGTAGCCCCCTAGGGTAGGTCAGCTGTGGTAGCCCCCTAGGGTAGGTCAGCTGTGGTAGCCCCTGGGTAGGTAAACTGTGGTAGTCCCCCAGGGTAGGTCAGCTGTGGTAGCCCTGGGGGACTACCACAGCTGACTTACCCTGGGGGGCTACCACAGTTGACCTACCCAGGGGGCCTACCACAGCTGACCTACTCTGGGGGACTATCACAGTTGACCTACCCTGGGGGATTACCACAGTTCACCTACCCAGGGAGGGCTACCACAGCTGATCTACCCAGAAGGCTACTACAGCTGACTTACCCTGGAGGGCTACCACAGCTGACCTACCCTGGGGGCTACCACAGCTGACCTACCCTAGGGGCTACCACAGCTGACCTACCCTAGGGGCTACCACAGCTGACCTACCCTGGGGGCTACCACAGCTGACCTACCCTGGGGGCTACCACAGCTGACCTACCCTAGGGGCTACCACAGCTGACCTAGCCCTGGGGGCTACCACAGCTGACCTATCCTGGGGGCTACCACAGCTGACCTATCCTGGGGGCTACCACAGCTGACCTATCCTGGGGGCTACCACAGCTGACCTACCCTGGGGGCTACCACAGCTGACCTATCTGACTTACCCTGGGGGCTACCACAGCTGACCTACCCTAGGGGCTACCACAGCTGACCTACCCTGGGGGCTACCACAGCTGACCTACCCTAGGGGCTACCACAGCTGACCTACCCTGGGGGCTACCACAGCTGACCTACCCTGGGGGCTACCACAGCTGACCTACCCTGGGGGCTACCACAGCTGACCTATCCTGGGGGCTACCACAGCTGACCTACCCTGGGGGCTACCACAGCTGACCTACCCTGGGGGCTACCACAGCTGACCTATCCTGGGGACTACCACAGCTGACCTACCCTGGGGGCTACCACAGCTGACCTACGCTGGGGGCTACCACAGCTTATCTGCCCTACCCTGGGGGGGGGCTACCACAGCTGACCTACCCTGGGGGACTACCACAGCTGACCTACTCTGGGGGCTACCACAGCCCTGGGGGCTACCACAGCTGACCTACCCTGGGGGACTACCACAGCTGACCTACCCTGGGGGACTACCAGAGCTTATCTGCCCTAGAGGCTACCACAGCTGACCTATCCTGGGGGACTACCACAGCTGACCTACCCTGGGGACTACCACAGCTGACCTACCCTGGGGGACTACCACAGCTGACCTACCCTGGGGGACTACCACAGTTGACCTACCCAGGGGGGCTACCACAGCTGACCTACCCTGGGGGACTACCACAGCTGACCTACCCAGTGGGCTACCACAGCTGACCTACCCTAGGGGCTACCACAGCTGACCTACCCTAGGGGACTACCACAGCTGACTTAGGGTAGGTCAGCTGTGGTAGCCCCTAGGGTAGGTCAGCTGTGGTAGCCCCCTAGGGTAGGTCAGCTGTGGTAGCCCCCTAGGGTAGGTCAGCTGTGGTAGCCCACTGGGTAGGTAAACTGTGGTAGTCCCCCAGGGTAGGTCAGCTGTGGTAGCCCTGGGGGACTACCACAGCTGACTTACCCTGGGGGGCTACCACAGTTGACCTACCCAGGGGGGCCTACCACAGCTGACCTACTCTGGGGGACTATCACAGTTGACCTACCCTGGGGGATTACCACAGTTCACCTACCCAGGGAGGGCTACCACAGCTGATCTACCCAGAAGGCTACTACAGCTGACTTACCCTGGGGACTACCACAGCTGACCTGTTCTGGGGGCTACCACAGCTGACCTACCCTGGGGGATACCACATCTGACCTACCCTAGAGGCTATCATAGCTGACCTACCCTGAGGACTACCACGGCTGACCTACCCTGGGGGGCTACCACAGCTGACCTACCCTGGGGGCTACCACAGCTGACCTACCCTGGAGGCTACCACAGGATAACTTATCCTTTGGGAGGGCTACCACAGCTGACCTACTCTGGGGGACTATCACAGCTGACCTACCTTGGGGGACTACCACAGTTCACCTACCCAGGGGGGGGGGGCTACCACAGCTGATCTACCCCGAAGGCTATCACAGCTGACCTACCCTGGGGGCTACCACAGCTGACCTGCCCTGGGGGCTATCATAGCTGACCTACCCTAGGGGCTATCATAGCTGACCTACCCTAGGGGCTATCATAGCTGACCTACCCTGAGGGCTACCACGGCTGACCTACCCTGGGGGCTACCACAGCTGACCTACCCTAGGGGGCTACCATAGGATGATCCACCCTGGGGGCTACCACAGTTGACCTACCCTGGAGGCTACGACAGGAAGACTTACCCTTGGGGACTACCACAGTTGACTTACCCCGGGGGGGCTAAGTCAACTGTGGTAGTCCCCAGGGTAGGTCAGCTGTGGTAGCCCCCAGGGTAGGTCAGCTGTGGTAGTCCCCCTGGGGTCGGCCAGCTGTGGTAGTCCCCCTGGGTAGGCCAACTGTGGTAGCCCCCCAGGGTAGGTCAACTGTGGTAGCCCCCCAGGGTAGGTCAGCTGTGGTAGTCTCCCTGGGTAGGTTAGCTGTGGTAGTCCCTAAGGTGGGTCCTCCTCTGGTAGCCCCTAGGGTAGGTCATCCTGTAGTAGCTCCCCAAGGTAGGTCAGCTGTGGTAGCCCCCCTGGGTAGGCCAGCTGTGATAGCCCTCCAGGGTAGGCCAGCTGTGGTAGCCCCAGGGTAGGTGAGCTGTGGTAGTCCATGGGTAGGTGAATTATGGTAGACCGCAGGGTAGGTGAGCTGTGGTAACCCCAAGGTAGGTCAGCTGTGGTAACCCCTAAGGTGTCAGTTGTGGTAGCCCCCACAGGGTAGGTCAGCTGTGGTAGCCCCCAGGGCAGGTCACCTGAGGTTTCCCCCCCAGGGTGGGTCCTGGGAAGGTTAACTTGTGGTAGCCCCCTGGGAAGACACTGGTAGTCTTTGCTGGCCCTTAAAATACGCAACATATTCCCCAGGGCTGCAACCGCTCGCCACCAACACCATAGGCCCCACACAAACATTATAAATCCCCACACAGACATGGAGGAGTACACAAACAGACGCACACAAGCATAAACAATACCCCCTCCCACCAGATTACAGCGAGGCTTAAAATACCAACAAGTTGCACTAGTCGATATCAGCGCAACCAGCCGTCAGCTGTTAGCAGAACCAATATGGCGTCGTGGGACAACAGAAGGAATATGTGGAACCAAATGACGCTAATTAGGTTCTTCAAAGCACGTTCCCAAAGGTCAAACTTCGATTACAAGCGTAAATGAACGTAAGCAAATAAAATCGTGAGCGAGAACTATTCGTGTGAGTGAACGACGGCAAAAATTCTCTGAGAACGAGGCCAAAACTCGCGCCAACAAATACTAGTCGTGCAACGCTCGCAACGGCAATATTGCAATACAAAACATAACCAATTTTGCTGCAACCAAAAAATTGAGTAAGCGAGGCGTGGAAGGTTAATTGTTTACTTTTTGGCAGATTGTCCCTAACTGATTATACGCTCCAATGTTTACTTCGTTATCTTCACCTAAATTCCGGCTGACGCGAGGGCAGAGCCCGCCAGGAGACCGGCTGCTGGCCGGATACCAGCCGTAGACAACTGGAGGAGACCCGGTGAACTCATCGCCAACACATGACAAAAAAAAATTCATATTTAACGAATATGGATATTTTTCAATTTATTTGACCGACGAACGCTTGGGCTCACTATATAGTGCATGTGAAGCAAACTCTCAAATACACACACAAAAAGACATTTGTATAATTCAATGTTAAATTAAGAGCATCTCATAGGAAACACGTTATCAGAGGCAACGCAAAACTGTTAATGAAGCTTCACTCTCGACCGCTGTTAGTCCAAATAGATATTGTTTAATATCCTAAAACAATTAACTTTCTGGTCTACTTCCATCTCTCCCAGTAACCTCCATCCCACACCCCTTTACTACCCTGAAATAACCCTTTTCCAGGGCGATGAAAGCATCCCCTGGATTACGTTTTCCCAGGGAAATGAGCCCCCTTGGATGACCCTTTTCCAGGGGAAATGAGCCCCCTTGGATGACCCTTTTCCAGGGGAAATGAGCCCCCTTGGATGACCCTTTTCCAGTTAGATGATCGTCCTTGAATGTCCCTTTTTCAAAGGATATGAAAGCTCCCAGAGGACCCTTTTCCAGAGAGATGATCCCTCGCTCTCCTTTTTCAAGGCTAACAACCTAGTCACTTTCCTTTTCCAATGATGATGGTGGTACATTCAGTCACCTTCCTTAGGCCCTCGCATCTCCTCGACAAAGTTATATCCTAAACCAGAGCTCCACTGGCACGCTTGACGCCTGAGGGCCAGCTCCGAGGACCTTCACCGGATAAACATCACCATCCAGTCACTTGAATAACGTTTGCTTGAACAACGTTAATTGTAATTGAATAATTAGGTAATTGCACATTAAATTCAGGGACCATTCAAGCTCGTTCGCATTTGTGTTGCTCAGGTGGCCCCCCAAAAATGAGGTGATTTGATAAAATACCAGCGGGGTAGACTTACCTAGATCAACCTCATGGACGGAGGGTCGGAGGGACTGCGGTGTGTTCCGGTAGAGGGCGTCCAGGATCTTGGCCTTCACCTGCGTGATGGTGTCACAGTCCAGGACGCGGCACTGTGCCTTCTCCCCGTCCTCGCCCACCACCGCCACGCACTGTCAACACCCAGAAAGATGTCATTTCTCGGCACCGAGTATCGACGTCAATGATAAAATGGACTAAGTGCCTACAGTGGGTGTCTTTTGAGTGTACACAATGGACTAAGTGCCTACAGTGGGTGTCTTTTGAGTGTAAACAATGGACTAAGTGCCTACAGTGGGTGTCTTTTGAGTGTAAACAATGGACTAGGTGCCTACAGTGGGTGTCTTTTGAGTGTAAACAATTGACTAGGTGCCTACAGTGGGTGTCTTTTGAGTGTAAATAATGGACGAAGTGCCTCTAACGTTAATGTTTATAAAGCAACATATCCTCCAATAAAACAGAACCTATGGCTACTGTGTACAAAATATGAACAACTGTACCAGAAAAAAGTTCATATTTTGTTCCATTTCATTTTTAAATGGCAAAGCAAGAATTAAACAGTAACCATAAACCTAACTTAGGTTTAAATAAGCAATCCTAGACCTAACATAGGCACCTAATTTAGTACAACTATGTGGTATACTAGGCCTAGGGAAAGTTAGGTTGGGTTGGGTTGCCTTCTTTCTTGTGTCCTCTACAAAAGTAATAGTATAAAAGTTTGACTTTTTTGTGTAGGGTACAACAGCCCATATTTTGTACTTTCATCCTGAGTAACCATAGGTACGGTCATGGGTAATATCATAGGTATTATACATTTAGGAAGACAATCGTGCCTATTAACTTTGTATGAGCATAAACATTATGAGTATAAGCATTATGAGTATAACATTATGTGTATGCTAATGTCATAAAATAGCATATGAAAAATGCATTAAAAACTCAGGAAGGCAATAGACTCTGGGTGATACATATACTGTACATAGTGTACATATATGAAATATATGCTTAAAATACATGTGTATTATACAAAAGAACAGTAACAAAAAAGGTATGCACATGTGAAAATATAGTTACATTTTAAAAAGAACTACAGAACAAAATCAATAATTCATACAGAAGAAATTTACCGACAAAAGCAATACGAGGCGAGAATAACAACAAATTCGTTGGTTTTTAATTGTGCAAAAATTTGAGATGGGAAATTGTTGTACGAAGGTACTAGTTCTTCCGCTTAGACCCCGTGACCCTTAATATTCCTGGGCTTGTCCCGGCACTCTAGCCTAGCTGGTGAGAGGCACTGTGCCATGCCTCGACTCCCCATATTCTCTCTCGCTAAAGCATAGCAAAGTCCCTCGTTGAAAGTCACCCAGCAATTCTGTAGTCTTTTCCTCTGGTTGCAAGTTGTTGTGCAGCATGTGTAGCGTCCCTGTGTAATAGACACGGCGCTGTGAAGCCTTCTGGAGCTAGTTTCTCCATTCTGGAAGTCTTGGGTTTGGTCTTGAAAATCTCCTTAAGAAACTCTTTGTTTCTTGAAGAGTTCCGTATGGGTTTAATCACCACTCGGCTTTACGGCTTTTCTCCAAATGGCTTGAAAGTATACATTGATTCGTGCACACTTATTAAAACCTACGCATATACGCACTATCAAGTGCATCAGTAGTGTGGATCTCGTGTCTATATATCCTGCCTCTCTGGCGTATTTGGTTCACAAACAGGGAGGAGGGGGTCCAGGGGTCCCGGGATAGTGAATTCTTTTTCCATTTCTGTTTGTTCCTGTTTCTCTAAACACGACCCTTAAGGCAATTTTAACGTGTGTGTGTGTATTCACCTAGTTGTATTCACGTAGTTGTATTTGCGGAGGTTGAGCTTTGCTCTTTCGGCCCGCCTCTCAACTGTTTACTAATTACTGTTTTTTCCACACCACACACACCCCAGGAAGCAGCCCGTGACAGCTGACTAACTCCCAGGTACCTATTTACTGCTAGTTAACAGGGGCATTCAGGGTGAAAGAAACTTTACCCATGTGTTTCTGCCTGGTGCTGGTGCGGGAATCGAACCCGCGCCACAGAATTACGAGCCCTGCACGCTATCCACCAGGCTACCAGGCCCCCGTGTGTGTGTGTGTGTGTGTGAGAGAGAAGCGACAAATGGAAACCAGACACTCAATGAGCCACACAGAAGAAACTTCTACACTCGAATCGTAAGTAAATGAAACAAACAGTATGATGTAATTCTCGTGGACAGTTCGATACAGAGCTTGAAATACAAGAAAAACGAGTGAAACGTCATTGCTGGACCAGCGAGTACATCTAGACGAATACAAGGACTCTGTGTCTGAGTTCATATTACATTTAACCCTTGTGAGCTACGCTTGTTAGTCGCAATACTGGCATAATTAACCTTACTCATATATATACCAGTGAGCCATACATACGCTGTGAAAGTATGCATTGATTCATGCACTTATTAAAACTTATGCATATACGCACTATCAAGTGCATCAGTAGTGTGGATCTTAGATCACTTTGAACGTGTCCCTTTGTATATCCATGATGCACTACACAACATATTGAACAGTCTTCCTGTTGAACTTTATATAAAGTTACTATGAATGGCTCTGTTGAACTTTGTGTATATTACATTATTGTAATGTTTCGGGAACATTATATATTTTTTTTTAGATTAACTATTAAAATTTCCTGCTTCATGACGACACAGCAGGAAGTCAGGGTAACTATCTGCATAATATCCTAATTATTATTATTATTACATAATTAAAATTATATTGTATTTCATTTACATTAATGTATTCCAATTATTATTCATAAAAACTATGTCTGTAGTATTATTTAAAATGGCTACTGTGATAATAATAATTCAAACATTTGATGTTCAAATTATTTTCTCAAAATTATCATCGGAAACGATATTAGTGTTAAGTCGTATTAACATCAACGACTATATATTTCATGTCGCTCGAGCAAATTTTAAATGTCACAAATGCAAGAAAAATTCGTTTAATTACCATAATTAGTGCCTCCGAACACATACTGAGTGAACAATGTTTGTTCGAACAATGCTATCACTGGTTAGTGATAGTGTGGAGTTATAATCTCCCACCAAACAATATACGGCCTATAGGGAAAAAAAAGTACGACATTTTTTGTCGAAAAATGATGGAGAAAGTCAGTCACAGCGGCAAGGGCAAAGGTTCTCATACTTGGAGATTTGAATCACAGGGGAAATAGACTGGATAAATCAGGACTTCCATAGGTTTTGACGAGATATGGAGAGCAAAGCTAATGGACACAGCTGATAAAAACTTCCTGAAGCCACATATTACAGGACCTTACTTAAGACACACATGTCAATAAGATAAAGAATTAGATGACTCCAGGGGCTATCAAATACCGCATTATTGTGATCGGGTACTTAATGCTGCTAAAGGAGTTGGTGAGATGAAGACACCCGTTGAGGTAGAAGAGAGCAACTACAGACGTGAGGAGTGGGGGCTACAGGCAAGATGGGGGGGGGAGGGACGCTACAGCAAGGCAAGTAGCTTCCTACATGAAGTCCAGATGACCCAGGCAGCTACCACCTACGGATAGAATAGATAACCCGGCTGTGGTAGGTATGTGGGTCTCGGGCCGCTCCAAGCAACAGCCTGGTGGACAAAGCTCTCACAAGTCAAGCCTGGCCTCGGGCCGCTCCAAGCAACAGCCTGGTGGACCAAACTCTCACAAGTCAAGCCTGGCCTCGGGCCGCTCCAAGCAACAGCCTGGTGGACCAAACTCTCACAAGTCAAGCCTGGCCTCGGGCCGCTCCAAGCAACAGCCTGGTGGACCAAACTCTCACAAGTCAAGCCTGGCCTGCGGGTCGCTCCAATCAACAGCCTGGTGGATCAAACTCTCACAAGTCAAGCCTGGCCTCGGGCCGCTCCAAGCAACAGCCTGTTGGACCAAACTCTCACAAGTCAAGCCTGGCCTCGGGCCGCTCCAAGCAACAGTCTGGTGGACCAAACTCTCACAAGTCAAGCCTGGCCTCGGGCCGCTCCAAGCAACAGCCTGGTGGACCAAACTCTCACAAGTCAAGCCTGGCCTCGGGCCGCTCCAAGCAACAGTCTGGTGGACCAAACTCTCACAAGTCAAGCCTGGCCTGCGGGCCGCTCCAAGCAACAGCCTGGTGGACCAAACTCTCACAAGTCAAGCCTGGCCTCGGGCCGGGCTTGGGGAGTAGAAGAACTCCCAGAACCCCATCAACCAGGTATGCTACAGAGGAGCTATACTGCCACTCCAGGAGGTGTGTAGACGAGGCGAGCATCATTACCCCGGGGAAACAGCAAGTCCCTGGTTCAACAAAACAATGCAGAGAAGCTAAGAAAAGGTCCAAAAATATGCATGGTAAAAAGATACAGAGAAGAGGAATATACAAGGTAGAAAAGGACAGCCTCTCTCAAAGTGAGAGAAAGGAGAACAAAATAACATACATGGAAGTTGGAAATGCAAATGAACTGAATACAGTATATAGGAAGACTCGTACGCTTTACGAGCAGTCAACAAGTGGAATGCAATGGAAGAAGTTGTGGAAGCCACCCCTCCATCCATGACTTTTACAGCCTGATTTGACAAAGATTTCGAACGTCAGACGAGTTGTAATGCAATAGGTACAAACACATTAGTATTCGGGGGCATAAAGACCTAAACCTCGCTTCCCCGTAGTCACTCAGAGAAACACACACACACACCTGATGCCTCTGTTCACCCAACAGTAAATAGGTACCAGGGAGTTAAAACAGCTGTTGTGGTGGGCACAAATAAATAATAGAAATTATAGGGAAAATAGATGGGGAGTAAGTAAAACTTTTTAAATTTTAACTCTAAAATTTAAAGTAGGCAAATTACTGTGGTCCTAGATTGTTATCAAAGAGTTCTTAAAGTTCATTGTACTTCTGTGCTTAGGCTTAAGGCTGGACCCAATCTAAAAAAAAAAAAAGCTCTATACCCCAAAATAGAAGAAATAAAAATAAGCCTAATAAAACAAAAAACACAAGCTTAATAATAAAAAGCGTAATACAGCAAACACAAGTTGTGTACACTACCAAAATATGACTATAAACACAGGCGCAGTAGCACAATATATCAAAACATGATGAAATAACTGCAATGAAACAATGTGCAAGCAGCCACAAGCTGGGCGAACAGGCCTAAGAGGCACGTAAGTGAGGGGTAACGTACTTCAGGGATGCTGTAGGGGATCTTCTCGTACTGTGGCTCGTCCCTCACTAAGTGGATGGTCTGTAGGGGCAGAACGAGACACTTAGTGGTGGTGGTGCTGATGGGGGAGGGTGGTAGTGGTGATGGGGGGGGGGGTTAGTCCTAATGTCAGGTGCGTGAGTGCTTATGGCGGTGGTAGTGATGATAGTGGAGCAAGTTGTGGTGGTACTGATAGTGGGTGATAATTGTGGTAGCGCTGGTAGTGGTGATGCTAATGGTGGTAGTGATGAAAATGGTGTTGTTGCTTAGTGAGAGTGGATGAGGCTATGAATACAGAGAAGAGGCGGGTCTTGAGAGCTAAAAATGAACGGTGGAAGAACAAAAAGGCAAAATAACATATTAAAAGAGAATAGGCACAGGAAAGAAAAAAAAAACAAGATCAAATACAAATAAAATATGGATTAGAAAAAAAAGAGAAATGATGACTATAAAACGCACTGCACATGTGTAAATAAGGTAACAATAAAGAATAAAATATGAATAAAAAGATAAAACACCTCAGATGGAGCAGAAAAAATACATGGATAACGTACACACAAAAAAAAATGGATTAAGTACAAATAATAATAACAGGGAATTAATAATTATAGATTTGACTCTACACAAAAATAGAATTAATTACAAAACTATACACCAGTGTTAACACACGGATAGCTTAGGGCCGGGAGCTGGAGCTAACTCTTGCAACCTAACCTAACCTTCCCCTTGTGTACAACACACACACACACACACACACACACACACAGGAGGCCAGCTACAAGGTATCATTTGGGAGATTAAATTCTTCAAGAATCAGAGAAAAAGACCTGGGGGTTGATATCACGCCAGACCTGTCCCCTGAAACCCATATCAAGAGGATAACATCAGCGGCATATGCCAGGTTGGCCAACATAAAAACGGCCTTTAGAAACTTGTGAAGGAATCCTTCAGAACTTTGTATACATCATGTCAGACCAATCCTGGAGTATGCAGCTCCAGCATGGAGTCCATATCTAGTCAACCATAAGACTTTTAGACACACAACCCCACCAGGAGACTTGGACCCTGGCCATCAAGATGGCAGGTACGCACTTAATCCACTACACCATACTCAGAGCCTTCTTTGTTACACAGTAAAGGTTCAAAAATATTTATTAATCTAAGAACATTCGAAGGTGAGACTAGGAACTAAGCTCGACCCCGCAAGCACATCTAGGTTAGTACACACTTTATTACAAATATAGGCAATTACGAGTGAACAAAAAATATGTAAATTAAAAAAATAAAAGGTAAGGTAATTATGAAGAGAATGTTTTGTTTAATTATTAGCAGAAAGCGCCAAGCTATTACGACTTTATAGCACTTGAAAGGGGTCAGGATAAGGATTTAGGACAAGACGGAGGAAAGGAATGGTTCCCAACCACTTGGACGGTCGGGGGATTGAACGCCGACCTGCAGGAAGGGAGACCGTCGCTTCATGCATTTTATTGCATGCTTCATGCAATAACGTTGTGCCTTTTATGCCGAACTTTAAACACACCCAAGATATTTCTTTCATAATTCATCTAGGCAATTCTTGCATACCTCTCCTCGATACTTAGTTCATTACTCTCCTCGGCACATCTTTCATACCTCGTCTCTTGCCTGTCCCGGGGCTTCAGTTTTGTCTTAGATTTCCTTGCTTTCTCTGCCTCCTTCATGGCTGGAATTTCCGTCTTCTGCCTCTCTATCCTAAATTCTAATAACACAGTCAAGCATAAGACTAACCTGGAAACGGTTCAAATGTTTGCCACCAGACTAGTACCCGAGCTGAGAGGTATGAGCTACGAGGAGAGACTACGGAAATATAAACCTCACGTCGCTGGAAGACAGAAGTTAGGGGCGACATGATCACCACGTACAAGATTCTCAGGAATTGATAGGGGAAGATAAAGACAGGCTATTTAACACAAAGGGCACACGCACTAGGGGGGGGACAGGTGGAAACTGAGTGCCCAAATGAGCCACAGAGATATTAGAAAGAACTTTAGTGTCAGAGTGGTTGACAAATTGAATGCATTAGGCAGTGATGTGGTGGAGGCTGACTCCATACACAGTTTCAAGTGTAGATATGATAGAGCCCAGTAGGCTCAGGAACCTGTACACCAGTTGATTGACAGTTAAGAGGCGGGACCAAAGAGCCAGAGCTCAACCCCCACAAGCACAACTAGGTGAGTACACACACACACACACACACGCTCAACATACGGCTCTGAAACATCCGTAAGTGCCTGAGAGAGCGAGCCACCGGAATGACCGGTGAGCGAACAAGAACTGTTGCAGGTTTCCGTAAATACCAAGACTAATTAAGACTTCCTTAAAACTCATCTCCTTCGTTGTTTACATGTTTTCCTGTTCTAGATACGAGCATTAAGGCGAACACTTGAGACGGGGACACTACGAGGGGTACGAGGGGTCAAGACAGAAAACGGAAGCAGCGCAAAATATATCCAAAGGCAACGACAATTCAACGCCGAATCAACGTAGTCAATATATTTCAACGTTGAAATAACACTGATATCATTGATTCAGCGTCGAACCAACGCCACTCCTGGATATTGCGTCCACAGGGGTGTGTGGTTGGGGGGCGGAGGGGGAGAGAGGGGGGGGAAGAGAGAGAGATTGCCTGAATGTTAAACCATTTCCCTGTCGCCGTAACAACTAGAACACTGGCGCCCAATGCATACAACATCCCTCTTTCACAAGGAACACTCTTAGTCTGTAGCATATCCTTTTGCCAGAAATAAGGCTTCACAAGCCAGATTTAACTGCCCTCCGCAACGTCGAAGATAGTGAGAAAGAAGATGAGAAAGAAATAATGGTGTTTGGGGAGGGTAGAGGGGATGAGGGGATGGGAAAGAGGGAAGAGGTGATGGTGTGTCCATGGCTGTGAAGAGACAATTCATCAGCTGGTCCTGAGGGGTTTGTCTTCCCTCTCCCTCGCCCCATGTTTCCTTTATAACATTACCCCTCTCCCCTTCTTTTCCTTCCCCTCCTCCTCTTCTCCCCAAGGCAACCTGGTGATCCCCTGGATCCCTCACCAACTCAAGGAGCTTTAACCACACTAGGTTAACCTTAACCCCTCACAGGGACCAATAACCAACCAGTATCCTGGGTATACACAGGAGCGTCCTGATATGCGTAGTTTCCCTAGGACCTAAAACGATAGTTTCAGTATGTTAGAAGGTAGAGAAACCTTCATGTCGATTGTATGGATGGTTTTCATAAACGTAGAGAGGACATGAGACATCCACCGTCTGCAATGATGTACACACACAGGAGGCTGTGGATGGTGACCTGGAAGCCTACAGAAGGTCATGCAGTTTAGGGGGAGAAAGAGAGATTGCGAGAGAGACAGAGAGAGAGAGAGATGTGTAAGAGCGTGAAAGAGAGTCACAGAAAACGAGTGTGATCAGAAAGGAGATCTGGTAGCGGAACGAGGGTGAGATCCAGCTCCCTAAGGACGGCTGGGGACCCTTGCTGTCAACACTTGTCCGCAACTCCCACCGGGAAAAACACCAGTGGCAAACACACCACTAGAAAATACGCTACCGTGAGATAAACACAGAGGGAGGGGAGGGTATGAACATTATATGCTCCCTGGGCCACTAATGCCACACTCGCACTTCCTCGACTTCTCTCACCAAAAGGACACATACATGAACTGGGAAATACCATCAACTGGGAGGAATTACTTGCGCGGAGAACCCAGACTAGGACCAAAACAACACTAGGAAAACAAACAAAGTTCTCTTTACCTTACACTACACTACACACAGAAATCACAATAGCGTGATGCATCAAATGAACAAATCCACAAGGACCGTGACGGGGGTTCGAACCTACGTCCGAGAGAATCCCTTTTAATTCTTTTAACCATGTCGTAACTCAGTCGATTAAGGCAGCGTCTGGGATCCTCGTGGACGTAGGTTCGAACCCTCGTCACGGCCCTTGTGGATTGGTTCTGTTTAGCTATTATTGTACTCGCAACAATTAAGTTCCTCGTCTTGCCATCAAAAGTTATCTTCAATGAGCCTCACTAATATTTTACACGCCAATCCCCACTCTCTCCCCAATACACGTCCCCCCCCCCCACCACGTCAACCTCCCGGAGAAGCCCCCAGACAAGAGCCTATGAGGAAGCCAATAGGGGGCATGGGGTGAGGATGGGGAGCAATGGCACCCGCGCTGATTTTGCACCAATGGGAAGGAGGGGAGCAAGGACAGGCTGGAAGTCAAATGAGATTATATGAGCGGAGGTGAAGCCTTGGGATCACACCAGAGGAACCCTTAACCTGAGCCAGGCATGCAAGAAGGCTTCCCCAAAAGAGCAATTTATGGATTTTGTTAAGAGGGAAGTGTTGATTAGTGAATATCCTGATGAAGAGGCTGAAGGAGATTCGGCCAGGATTGGCAATCAAGGGATTTTGCCAAGGAAGTGATATTGACCCGGCAAGCGCAGCTTCGGTCGAGGAACACTAGTTGGCAACACACAACAAGTCTTAATCAGACTTGTATTTATTTTAATTTTAATTAAAATCTGAGGCTGAATTAACCGATGGAGGCACCAATGGCGACATAACAGCCTACTCTGAAATGGAATCGGCAAAAATACATCAAATGACGCTGTAGAAAGAACTCCACTCAAGAGAAAGAAACCGATCAAGTTCCAGAGAGTTCCACGACAGAAAAGACGTACTAAGTTACTAAGTCAAGAGGGAGGGGGGGGGACTTTTTTTTTGAGAGCGTATAGCAACAAAATAGTTACATGACATGCCACATTCGGCACGTGTGCCACTGGTTTCCCCCGTCCTAGCTCCTACCTACCGCAGACAGGTATAGCAACCAACACGGGGGAAGAAAATGCTTTTGAGAGAAGCCAGGAAGGAGGCGCTAATGTGACCACCCAAGGGAGCTGTCGAACCAACTACCACCATGAAGCTCGTGCCAGACGAGGCGTCAGCCGCTTCCTGACGGTAATCACATTAAAATCCTCATGACAAGTGACAGGTGACAGAACAATTTATTATTTTACGCAAAACCTCTCCCGCGCCGAGCCCGCTAACGTCATTTATCAAGTGGAGTGGCTTTTGCACCTCTCCCTCCGCTATATTATTATTTTTGTCTCCTCCTTCCAGGTAACTTGGAATTTAGTCCTCGCTAAGATTTCGCTCAATTAAAGCCTTGCTAAAATTAGCTGGTGACATGCTAGAAGCGTTCAGCGTTAATTAAGTCCTCATCCGGGAGGCTTGAGTCCGAGTGACAAAGGCTTGGCTGTGCTCGGAGCTGGTGTGTGGCGAGGCTGTGCTCGGAGGTGGTGTGAGGTGAGGCTGTGCTCGGAGCTGGTGTGTGGCGAGGCTGTGCTCGGAGGTGGTGTGTGGTGAGGCTGTGCTCGGAGCTGGTGTGTGGTGAGGCTGTGCTCGGAGCTGGTGTGTGGTGAGGCTGTGCTCGGAGCTGGTGTGTGGTGAGGCTGTGTTCGGAGCTGGTGTGTGGTGAGGCTGTGCTCGGAGCAGGTGTGTGGTGACGGCCAGGGTGGTGTGGTGAAGCCGTTCTCAGACCACAAGTTCCTTTACCAACATTCAGCAGGAAACTTCCCACAAGATTTAATTGAGTTAATCAATCTATCGCTGCTCCCCCCCCCCCCCACTCACCCGCATCCCGCGCCCTCTCTCCCTTCTCTTCCTCTTTATTTCACATTCTCAGCTACCCTCATACACTTGGACTGGTCGGAAGCGCGGGGCCCTCGATCGCTTCCTGCAGGGTCGGCTTTCGATCCCCGATGGCCCAAGTGGCTGGGAACCAACCCTTACCCCTTCCCCAATCCTGTCCTTTCGTATACTCTTATTGGGCTTGATGCTTTCTGATAATTTCCCTTATTCCTAATTCCCTATTTTACTCCGATTTATCCTTTCCCTCCGTTACTCCTGCCCCCCCCTATACACAGTCCAAGACCCCCCCCCTCCTTATCTATTATTTACTAGCTGGGATAACCGGCAGTGCCCGGGGTCCACTCCGGACTCTTATCTCTGTCTCTGTATTTGTCTCTACTGTTTCTGTCTATCTGATTTCTCTCTGTCATTCACTCTTCCCTCCCCCCCATCATTCTCTGCCCCCAATTCCTCCCTCTTCCTCCCCTTATCAATTCATTTCCCCCATATTCATTCTTCATCATTTTAAAACCCTTCCAATCCCTTTCCTTATATCTTTATAAATATCATAGTTCCCCCTTCCTCGTCCCCCACTAATCATTTTCTTTCATTAGTGCTCAGAAAATGGAGCCCATGTCTAAGGGGAGACTGTTATGGTCCCCGGTTCTCACCTTGGCGGTAAAAGCGGTGGACCTGACGACGGGGACTTGGGTCCCCGTCGCCAGGTCATGTATGGGGGACACGGGTGAATATGGTGGTCACGCCTCCTTGATGGGGGGAGCGGGAGGGGCTTGAGAGAGGTCTTGGTGGTGGTGTTTACGGTGATGGTGACACCACAGAGACCCGGTAACCAATCACCACCTACTGCAGGCTACGGAAGGTCAGTCACCATTGAAGAGGATTGTCAACAGCAAACTCCAGTCACCAACGACAGGATACAGTTTACAGCAGCAACAATATAAAACAATCATATTCACAGTGACAGAGGATATTTGCATAGTCAATTTGCATAGGTAACTGGAGTGACTCAGATGCCGAAGTGCAGGGAGGTGGGGGGGGGGCCCTCCCACTGTGGGGGGGGGAGACTCACCCTCCCACTGTGGGGGGGGGGCAGACTCACCCTCCCACTGTGGGGGGGGAGACTCACCCTCCCACTGTGGGGGGGGGAGACTCACCCTCCCACTGTAGGTGGGGGGGAGACTCACCCTCCCACTGTGGGGGGGGGGGAGACTCACCCTCCCACTGTGGGGGGGAGACTCACCCTCCCACTGTAGGTGGGGGGGGAGACTCACCCTCCCACTGTAGGTGGGGGGGGAGACTCACCCTCCCACTGTGGGGGGGGGAGACTCACCCTCCCACTGTGGGGGGGGGGAGACACCCTCCCACATACGCTTACTCACTGGATGGCTTGGGGCACCATGATGGAGACCCAAATTCAAACAGTACAGAAGTAGTTCAAGGTACAGAGGTTTGCTACAGGACTAAGCACACTTCCCTTGAAGTTAGAAGGGACATGATCCATACGTACAAGATATTTAAGGGTACTGTTTACATTGGCTACACACAAATATGGTTGCGCATCAGCCAACCAAAACGATCAGACCTGCAAATATGCTACAGGAATGTAAGGAAAGACTTTTAGTGCGAGGGTAACGAGCAAGAGGAATGCTGTACAGAAGGGGATATATAACAGAACGAAAAGACCAATTTGGAACAACGAGGTGACTCGAATTAACGAACTTCCACGCCACCATCTTACAAACTAGCACGAGCAATAGTTATAAAAACATACAAAGGCATACAGAGGCCCTCCAAAACTTTAAGGTTAGTACACAGACATACCCACAACTCTTACTCTATTTACAGACGAGAGCTAATCATACTTCCCCTCTACCGTAAGACATTCAACTTGAGTCTTTCTTTCGCGTTAAGACGAATGCCAAGATGCGGGTCTTGATTCACCTTCATTCACAGCATACGGTTAGGATAAGGATTTGGGATGGGATGGGGGAAAGGAATGGTGCCCGACCACTTGGACGGTCAGGGAATGAACACCGACCTGCATGAGGCGAGTTTGTGTGAAGCTGGTGAACTACTCACCACGTAGGCGTGTGTGATCTGCTCCCTGAGCAGGCGTTCCTCGGAGAGGGAGTAGCGAGCGTCGTGGGTGAGGGCGTCCACGGGGCCCTTCTCCACCTGGTGCTTGATGGCCTTGTAGAGCAGGAACAGCGCCGGCCCCGCTTGCTCCTGTAGGAGGAGGAGAATACACTCTTGTTGTAACACACAATCAACTAACTATTGAAGTGATTTTTTTTTTATTTCACAATTCTTGGAAGAACAAAGATTGACACTTGAACAATCGCCACTTGAGGAAGAGTTCATCAGTCACCAGTCACCGAATTCAGAAATATTTTGCAAGCCTCGTCGACCAGGCCTCGTTAGGCATCGCACCGAAAGTGGAACACAAGACCGTGTAAATGATTAACAATATTTAATTCCTATAAAGCAATGAGGAAGTAGAGGACTCCTCAACCCGGTGGCCACAATATTTACGAGTATTACTGACTCACCGTTGAAGCCGCATTACTCATCAATAATATACTCACTGGTTAAAGACTTGAAAAATACTGGTAAACAAGAAGATGCGTAAATATGGCTTCAAAACTAAATCTCAAACTTGAATGCTATACGACTCTAATTATCAGAGTCTTCAGTTAATAGTCTGACTCAGGATAACGGCGGTTCACAATGTAACACCAGAGATTACTTGCGACTCTAATGAAAACATCCCCATACGAGAGGAACAATCTTTTTCCCGCCAAAACAGAAAACACCACAAAACATCGGAGCAACACCACAGAAATGCATTAGTACTTGGGAATCCTCTCATGTGTGGGATCGAGACTATGATTCCCTAGGTGCGCACTATTGAACACTGTGGCCAGTCTCGGCTTAACCACGTGTCTATTGCACCGTATTGGATTAACTGATAGAATCTGGAGAAGCCGCGGTACTGTATACCCATTCTCCTATATTCGGGAAACATAGTCTATCACCACTTTCATTGGGCAGGGAAGTTACCCAAGCTGGATCTTGTTATGAAATCGAAAGGAGAAGAAACTACTCTTAGATATCCACTCTGATACCACTTTTGTTATTAAATATCCAGAGGATTTCATTGATACCGTGGCATGTTAATTGATTAATAGTACTTAGCCCTCCCTTACTGAGAATAACTCCACACTTAACAAAGTTACTTTTTGTAACTTTATTACAAGGTTACTGGAGTTACCAAAGTAGCAGGATGACTCGAACACTGATGACCAACAAATCACGACCAGGATTCATCAAATATTTACTCATTCACTAACGAAACCTCAACATCTTTCCTCAGTCCTGGCCTACCTTGTTTACATATATTAGTTTATAAGCTCCTAAGAACAAACACAGTTGTTTATAACAATAACCTTGTCTTGTGAAGTCTCCAAGCTCGAAAAACTGTTTTAATGTCAAGATGTAGAAGTTTCGCAGGTGGTTGGTTAAATACTTGATGCACCATGGCCCTGACTCTTCACTACACGCACCAGGGGACAGTCAGCCAGCCTAGCCTCTGTGGTCATAGACTTCAGGGGAGAAAAAATCCATACAAAACCAACAGCCCTGTCACTCAAGGTGCTAACAAAAATAGGTTTTTTGGACCACTTTGCCCTTCTCGGACGTCGGGGCGCAAGAGAGCAGAAGTCAAGTTGCCTTCGAACTCAACTTCGAAGTTGACTTCGATGTGCATGAAGGAGTGGAGGCAAAGGTGTGTGAGAGGCAGGACCAACCTTGAGGTACGTGTACATGCAGAGTGTCATCCAGTTGGTGAGCATCTTCTCCACTACGCTCTCCGTCCTCCGCAGCATCAGTTGTGGATGCTTGGTGGCCACACTCTTCTCGATGAGACGCAGCAGCAGGAGCCGCAGGATCTCCGTCAGGTACTCCATCCGCCCCGCCATGGACACCACCAGCAGCGACGCCACATTCACCCTGGAAGGAACACATCTCGGTTCACCAGTCGCCAACCTTCAGCACACAAGCACAGTGGATATAGTTTGTAGCGATGACTGTTTAATGGAGGAATTTTTATTTCTTATTCTAATCTAAATAGTCTTCTGGGGTGGGGCGTTATATTATTATTGTTAGTTTCTATCTTTCACATACTACTGACATACAGATGTTATAGAGAATAGTGGAGCTGGATAAGCGTGAAATTTTTACCCAACCACTTGGGCTGGACGGTAGAGCGACGGTCTCCCTTCATGCATGTTCAATCCCCGACATTCCAAGTGGATGGGCACCATTCCTTTACCCCGTTCCATCCCAAATTCTTATCCTGACCCCTTCCCAGTGCTATATAGTCGTAATGGCTTGGCGCTCCCCCCCTCCCCCCTGATAGCCACAGTTACAGCCCCACTCCTGTGCCAGGTAAGTACACAACGGGCTCACCATAGCCCGTGCTACTTACAACTTTTGTTCCGAGTAGCTGACTCTAAAATAACAACAACAACCCTGGTAGTTGCCCTTGATAAAGTACAGTAACAGAGAACCAATGAAGCGGTCCTCCTTCAAGGGGCCTCGGCAAGCGGAATCAACCGTGGACGTGAAGGTTATAAATCTGTCTGAAGGAGCAGCAGACGGCACCGAGGCAGAACCACTGCTCTTCTTGACTGCTTCTCCCGAGACATCTCGCCCCCCATACCCCCATCACTTACTTGTCTCTAACGTTGAAAGTCTTCTGGGCCTCCAGCGTCTCTATCAGGGCGAGCAGGAAGTACCTGTTGGTGGTGAGCTGCTCGAACTGTATCATAGCGTTGTCCATAGCCGGCCTGCACCCGTTCATGCGAACCTGAGGCGTGGAACAACCAGTTAATTTGCATGTAGGCAAATGAGTTACAATAACGTGGCTGAAGTATGTTGACCAGACCACACACTAGAAGGTGAAGGGACGACGACGACGTTTCAGTCCGTCCTGGACTATTCTCAAGTCGATTGTGTCGACTTGAGAATAGTCCAGGACAGACCGAAACGTCGTCGTCCCTTCACCTTCTAGTGTGTGGTCTGTCAACAGTTAATTTGCATATCAGTTCTAAAAGTTCACGTTTACTTCAAGCGTCGCAAAAACGGATCGAAAACTATGATGAAATTTGATATAAAATAATGTGCAACAGGATAGCATAGATCACCCGCTTGATGAGTTCACCGGTAATACTTTCTCAGACTTGCGCTGGGCAAGGTGGGTCAGGCCTTGGGGTCGGTGAGTATAGGGCAAGGTGAGGATGGGGTGGGGTCTTACTGACACTGGGGTCACTGAGGATAGAGTTTGATCTTACCCTGGGGTAAGATCAAACCATGATCATGGTTTGATCACGGTCTGACCCCCAGTAAGACCATGTGACCCCCATGGTATTACTGACCATGGGGGTCACTGAGGATAGGGTGGGGTCTTACTGACTCTGGGGTCACTGAGGATGGGGTGGGGTCTTACTTACCTTTGGGGTCACTGAGGATAGGGTGGGGTCTTACCCTGGGGTCGGTGAGGATGGGGTGGAGTCTTACTGACCTTGGGGTCACTAAGGATAGGGAGTGGTCTTACTGACCTTAGGGTCGTTGAGGATGGGGGTCGTGCTTACCTTAGGGTCGTTGAGGATGGGGGTCGTGCTTACCTTAGGGTCGTTGAGGATGGGGGTCGTGCTTACCTTGGGGGTCGTCCTTATCTTAGGGTCGTTGAGGATGGGGGTCGTGCTTACCTTGGGGTCGTTGAGGATGGGGGTCGTGCTTACCTTAGGGTCGTTGAGGATGGGGTGGTCGGTAACGCCGGGGAAGAAGACCTTCATGACGTAACTGCGGTGATCCAGGGTTGGGATCCCAGACGACTCCAGGTCAGCCGTCAGATCCGTCATATCCGTCTGCAGCTCCGCGAACGCTGCCGCCGAAGAGAGAGAGAGAGAGAGAGAGAACAACATCAACACGGGGAGAGTAATGGCGGGGGAAGGGGGGGGGAAGGAACCAACAGGGATGTTGTCGCTAAAGTGAGCGAGAAGGCGCTCAACAAGCAACATCCAGTGAGGGCGCACCTCGAAAAAATGTAAACAGCAAGAAGACAATAGAGGTACCCACTCGCGAAGTGGTCTACATCGTTTGCTATGGGAATATACCCAGAGCACATAGGTTCGAATCCACCACCATAGCTCCTACTGTTATTAAGCTCCAGTTATCACCAGTCATAACGACGAACAGTACTGAGATCTAGACGTAACATGAGACATGTTCACTACTCAATAACACTAACAATCAAACTACCCCTCTCAAACCAGGCTTAGATGAGCCATGCAGTGCGGGTAGACGAGGACGCTTCATGTTCACAACAGTTCTTATAATGCCTCGGTACACAACAAAGGGACAAGTTATCTCTTTACACATCGCCGCGTTGAGCAGTTCAATGTCTGCCCACCGCGGCGTAAGTCCTCCACTCAAATTGATAGGCAATAAAAGTGTTGATGTGTGTTGTTGGTGATGTGGGCCCCGGGACCCGCCGGCGAGGGTAATATAAGGACTAAAGTTGACGCCAGCTTATCCTGAGATGATTTCTGGGCCTAGCGTCCTCGCGGCCCGGTCTTCGACCAGGCCTCCACCCCCAGGAAGCAGCCCGTGACAGCTGACTAACACCCAGGTACCTATTTACTGCTAGGTAACAGGGGCATCAAGGCGAAAGAAACATTTTGCCCATTTGTCTCCGCCTCCACCGGGGATCGAACCCGGAACCTCAGAACTATGAATCCAAAGCGCTGTCTACCCAGCTGTCAGGCGCCCTAAAGGTGATAGGAAATGTGCCCAACCATTTCTGTCCCGCCCGGGATTCGAACCCGGAATTCTCGATTGCACGTAAAGAGTAATGATTGCATGACTGAAGGCAAGGTGAGCCCTCTACCAAACCTTTGCCATGCCGCCAGCTTCCTGTCCCCGTCTAGGTCATTAGATATACAGTGGCCCCTCAGGTAAATCAAAGAATATACACTACCAGTAGACTGACAGTTGAGAGGCGGGACCAAAGAGCCAGAGCTCAACCCCCACAAGCACAACTAGGTGAGTGAGTACCTACGTTACTATCTCTGTCCTTTACAAATATAGTTAAGTTTATGCGTAAGAACACACGATAGAAAACGTAGAGATGTATCTCGGCGCATATACAGAAAATGGTACGAGTTACATAAGGGTAACTGTACTATTTTGTTGTACTGTACAAACGGGCGCCCAAGATGGTACCCTTTACCTACGCCCAACATGGCACGTATCACGAGTGAGATCTGGGAGTTCACCTACTGCCCCCAGGCCCTGTGTGTTGTAGGTGAACAGAGGCATTAGGTGATAGGAAATGTGCCCAACCATTTCTGTCACGCCCGGGATTCGAACCCGAAATTCTCGAACGCATATATTTCTCAATAACATGAGAAGCATTGAGAAGAGGGGAAGGTAACTATCAGAGGAAAACGCCAAACCATTACGACTATATAGCACTGGGAAGGGGTCAGGATAAGGATTTGAGATGGGACGGGGGGAAGGAATGGTGCCCAACCACTTGGGCGGTCGGGGATTGAACGCTGACCTGCAGGAAGCGAGACCGTCGCTCTACCGTCCACCCCAAGTGGTTGGACTTGGGCATACACCATACAAAAACACTATACACATCATCAAAACACGTTAAAACACGACATACTGCAAAAAAACACAGTAACTCTATAAACACCTAATATTAAAAAACTCACATTAAAACACACACACACAGCCCAATAGGCTCAATAACCTGTCATGAAGATTGAGAGGCGGGGCCATAGAGCCGAAGCCCAACTTCCGAAAATCTCGCCCCGAAATAAAGTCAACAGCGACCCCCCCCCTCTTTCTCATTTCCTTGCCTACCCTTCCTCTCCCATTTCTTTCATATCCCTCTCCTCCTTTTCTCCTCTTTCTCTTCCCTATCTGTACTTTCACTCCTCTTGAGGCGAGTAGTAGTAGGGTCTAAAACCTGGGGAAAATTGTGCAGGCTTCTACGTCATCACTACTCTTGAAGGAAATCCAACCCATCGCATCAGAAGCCCAACCTGACCTAACCTAATCCAACCCAATCTAACAGGAATTAATCCTTTTTTTGGGCTAGGATATTAAATCTATGTAAGTTATTTAATAAATAGATTGCGTCAGAAACAATAATTTTTTGTCTTTTTTAAGGGGAAGGAATAGACTGTCATCAAATAACTTTATTGACATTGTTTTCTGTCCAATAAACATATGTCAATGCAATTGTTTAGCCTCACAAAGTGTGCCGTCTCCCTCAACAATACAGTGAAAAAACGCACTTTGCGCAGGGTATGTGGGTCTGCGGGCCGCTCCAAGCAACAGCCTGGTGGACCAAACTCTCACAAGTCAAGCCTGGCCTCGGGCCGCTCCAAGCAATAGCCTGGTGGACCAAACTCTCACAAGTCAAGCCTGGCCTGCGGGCCGCTCCAAGCAACAGCCTGGTGGACCAAACTCTCACAAGTCAAGCCTGGCCTGCGGGTCGCTCCAAGCAATAGCCTGGTGGACCAAACTCTCACAAGTCAAGCCTGGCCTCGGGCCGCTCCAAGCAACAGCCTGGTGGACCAAACTCTCACAAGTCAAGCCTGGCCTCGGGCCGCTCCAAGCAATAGCCTGGTGGACCAAACTCTCACAAGTCAAGCCTGGCCTCGGGCCGCTCCAAGCAACAGCCTGGTGGACCAAACTCTCACAAGTCAAGCCTGGCCTCGGGCCGCTCCAAGCAACAGCCTGGTGGACCAAACTCTCACAAGTCAAGCCTGGCCTCGGGCCGGGCTTGGGGAGTAGAACAACTCCCAGAACCCCATCAACCAGGTATTAAGCAATATCTGATTGCATAGTATGCAGCGACACACACACACATACAAGCAAAGGGGCCCAGGAACTCACCTTGCTTACACTCTGAGCGGACGTTGGACTCGAGGGTATCCATCTGGATCTGGATCCTCTTGTACTCGCGTTCTGCCTGGTTGCTCTTCCTGCGGTAGACTACCAGGATCGCCATGGACACCAGCACCAGGAACATCCCTCCGGCCGCCATCCCGCCAATCGCCTCTGGCGGAAACTGGTACTCCTGTACGGGGATAGAATAGGGTCGAATCCTTACACCCAAAACTATCCGAGAAAGCTTATTTTCTGATTGGCAATGCCGTCTGTACTGTTGAGGGTGTTAGGCTGTGTTTGGCTCGGATGAGTTACGTTGGGATGGGATTAGTTATAGGTAATTTTATAATGTACGGATGATCTAACGCGTCTAACAGCCTGGTTGATCAGTCCAGCAACCAAGAGGCCTGGTCGACGACCGGGCCGCGGGACACTAAGCCCCGGAAGCATCTCAAGGTATGATGAGTTACGTGGCTGGAGATATGATGACCAGAAAACGAGGAGACGAAGACGTTTCGGTCCATCCTGGACCATTATCAATCGACTTTATAATGGTCCAGGACGGACCAAAACGTCGTCGTCTCCCCATCTTCTGGTGTGTAGTTATGTCATCATTTTTATATATTTTATTGACTCAGGTGTTCTGGACGACATCCTAACAATTTATCCAAAATTTGCTTGTCCATTTTAAAGAATGAAGAACAATTTTTGTTCATATTACTTCTAAGCTGCATCACTTATGAACCCATCCCTGCACTTGTGTGGCAGTGCACAGTAGAAAGTTGTTTTCACATATCCATACATTAAAACATTGATTGTAACCGTGATATGTATGTGCTTCAGCCTACAGTTTAGACCTATTGTCTTATGTATGACCCTCTGTCCTGCGTGACAGTGAATACCAGCATTATCCTCACTCTAATAAGACTATCAAAATCCTCAGATTAGGCAAAAATGTAATTAATTTTGTCAATAAAGATGTTAATAATTAATTTTATAATGTGTTCGCTGTGACTTGTACCCCTCTACACACACACCAAATTTATATCGGCCAAATGCTATAGATTTTTTTTTAATTTCATTTGACTAGACACATTATTGTACAGTGAAAATCAGTGTTGTACAATACTGTACAATATACATTTGCCAATAAAATTTCAATATCATTCATAAAATGACTGTGGCCACTAGAGACGCCCTGAAAACTAAAGCGAAACTCGATTACAAATGAATTACTCTGAATTATATTTTAATCTGCACCCACAAAATAATAAAAAATATATAAAATGGCCGACCTTAATCATCTCGTAGCGGAGGTAGCCGATGGGAAATCTGAGGTTCTGACCCATCCTGACGACGACTAGAGGAAGGTCGTCCTCGGTGGAGTGGCCGAGTTCGTCAGTGGGGGGCGGCTGGGCCTCTGGCGGAGTGCACACCAACTGCGTCAGGGCCAGCGAAGTGACGTTACACTGACGAGTCCCAATGGTGACGTTTACGTCTGACTCGTCGCTGGCCAGGTTCAAGTTCTCGCCCTGAAATGCATTCATGTTTGTAATCAAGTTAATGTTATTTTAGTACAACTTAATGTGACTTGATTACAGGTGACCCATACTCCATGCGTCTTAGAGCAGATGCGTTGCATTCATGACCAAGTGGCATGCACTTGTAATCAAGTGAATTGCACTTGTAATCAGGTGATATTAACCTGTAATCAAGTGACATTAAGTTCTACTAAAATGACATTAACTTGATTACAAATGCATGTCACTTAATTACAACTGCAAGGCACTTGATTACAAATGACAATACAGTAGTAATCCACTATTAACGCCGAGCTTTGTTACTATAACCCCCACCACGTAGACAGCACCGCTCCTGTGCCAGGTAAGTCCACTACGGGCTCACCATAGCCCGTGCTACTTGCAACTTGTTCAGAGTAGCTGAATCTATAAACAACAACAACCCACCACGTAAGGAAGGAAGGAACTATCAGGGGAAGCGCCAAGCCATTACGACTATATAGCACTGGGAATGGGTTAGGATAAGGATTTGGGATGGGACGAGGGGGAGGGAATGGTGCCTAACCACTTGTGGACGGTCGGGGATTGAACGCCGATCTGCATGAAGCCAGACCGTCGCTCTACCGTCCACCCCAAATGGTTGGGCAACCCACCACGTAAAACAGTTCCCAACTAAGGAAGAACCTCACCTCAATGACGAGGGTGTCGCCCTTGTAGAGCTTGATGGCGTTGGGGAACTTCTTGTAGGTGGGGTCGAGGACGTAGACGAGGCTGCTGGCTGAGGTCGACAACACGTGCTTGAGGTTCCTGACGGAGGCGACGTTGTCCATGATGAACCCCACGTCCAGGGTAATGGAGTCCCCGTAGTTCTGGCGAGGAGACCTGCGGGTATAACGGCCACCACGAAGGCAATTAGCGGTGCTAATGATCTATTAAGTCTAACTACCTAGCTGCGCTGTTAAGTTTTGGTTTAAAACAGTCAAACTCCAAAGTTGAAGCATGTATCAAAAATCGTCAAGTTGGGAAGACTAAATAGCGCCGAAATTAGGGTGAAAAGGAGTGATTTTTTACCAATACTCAAGATTTGAGTATACTAGACGTTTGCATTTCTATTGGACACTTTCGGTGCAGAGGAGAGGGGGTGACCTGCTGCATGGGTAACAGCTTCTCCTCCATATCAACATACCTTGGTTTTGCACCCTGGAGAGGCCACTCCAGACCGACAACCAGAGCGCATCTCCAGTCTCCTGAGACTGATCCTACTACCACTACTAGACGGGGTGGTAAACTTACCTTGAGACTTTGTGAGAGACTCTGCCCTGCGCTCTGGGATTCGACGTGTCATCTTCTTGCGCGTTGCGTCGCTCCCGCAGGAGAGCCATCAGCACCGTGCGATCGACGGGGGGCGACGGACACTCCATCTGGTCGTGTCGCAGCACACGACACGCGGACGAGTTGAGAAACTTCTCCTCGTAGAAGACGGTGATGCGTGGCGCCTGAATGGCGTCCAATTGCGTCCCGTGCACCGTCAGCATGCGTCCGCCACTCCAGGGGCTCCGTCGGGGCTTGAGCTCCAGCACTTGAGGATCGGGAGTGTACGTGAAGGGGGAATTAAGAGTGCGTTTGGCGCCATCCACCGTCACCGTTAGAGTGCGTACTGTTCGAGGTAGACCTTCGCCTTCACCGCTTCCGTCGCCAGCCGGCGCCGCCGCCCTCGACGTGACGCACACCAGCCGGTGCGACGACGACTGCGTCTTGTTGACGAGGCAGGGAAGGTCGTCGAGCTTGGCGGAGACGTGAGAGCCGACGTTCAAGAAGTGTCCGGTGATGGAGAGCACAGTGCCCCCGGACTCTGGTCCGTGCGTCGGCCGGACGCCGCTCACACTCACGTTCTGTGGACGAAAATACCAACGTTCCAGCAACCAAACAACACAAATCAAGCACTAAACTACCCTCCCGTCCTCCAGTAATGACAACTTACAACAACTATTGGACGAACGTACAAAAATATACTGTTGTACCCAGACAAGAAAGTTCACGTTTTGTACTATTAAAATATCACAAAATGACATACCAAAAGCTTGAAGAGTCACTAATACAACCTAAACTACTCAATCTTAATCTCAAGTAAGCAACCCTAGGCGTAATGTATGCCATAGGTCTAATTTTGTACATGTATTTACCCAGGAAATTTTAGTTTGGCTGATACCTTTATTTTCATGCCGCCTACAAAATTAATTAAAAAAAATTATTTTAGAGTAACAACAGTCAATTTTTGTACGTTCCACACACAGCCTCTGCAAGCCTGTCTGGATGATAGGGCGGTTTACATTGAGTCTAACAGCTCCGGGTTGAGTATACTCACAGTGTAGGTAAACTTGACGGTGGATTTGGTAGTGCCTGCAGGCGTGGTCACGCTGACTGGAAACTGCAGGTTCTGCGCCCCTGTTGAACCTTCTCTGGCAGGCGCCGGCCCCGTCCGGCACGTGATCTTGACCGACACGTGGTACTCGTCCACGTGGCAGGGGATGTCCCCTATGTAGATATTCCCGCGTACGTCCTCCTCCCTGAGGCCCAGGTTGCTGCCCTCGATGGAGACCAGTGTACCGCCCTCCAAGGGACCCGCCAGGGGCTGGATCTGAAGCACAGAAGACGCCAGTTACCCCTTGAAAGAGGCGCAGAAGAGGCACATTTCTATTATGACCACTAACTCAACTATTTTCTTCTGCTACACATACACAATACTCGGGTACAATTCCTGTGGCAATGTTGGTATTGTTGATTGTAAAACTGTAATATTTCAAGTGGAAGAAGAGGGAGGGATGGGGTTACCACCTTACAATAGGCCACAGTAATATTTATACCATATTCAATAAAGCTGTCGGAGCTCGGCGATATTAGACTAAACCCGAAAATCTAAAGTAAAAATCCATTATGACATCACGCCCAATCCTTCCTGTGACTGGTCGGGTTGATTGATGACGTCGTCGCAGACAGCCTGTTGATGGATTGTGATTAGTCAGTTTTTGTGCTTGACAACCGCAGTGCTGCCACATCAACGTCTCTGACGTCCCTTACCACAACAAACCCATCCGTTAAATTGATTAATTTTTTCCATCAAATTTTAACCGTCCCCGATCCATCAAAGTCATGTAAAAAATATGACGTTATGAAACAAGATGAGTGTAATTATCGTATACATAATTGGCTAGAGACTTGGCTAGTTGAAACTATCCAAGTTCGAACACGTTCGAGAGAGGGTTGCCAGAGACCACTTGCTAGCCTCCCTGAAGTACTCCTGCACATTGATTATCAAAGGACGCGAGCCAGGCCGTGTTTAATGGTCCCGTTGAGCCCTAAACAATTGGGCATCCATCATCAGCTTCTTCATTGATCAAATTGATGATTACATAGGTGAAGGATATATATATATATATGGAAATGATGTCGACTCTACAGAGCTCAGAACATTGATTTTGAATGCGAGGCTTGACTTAAGCAGGAAAAAAATGGTGAACTGCCCGAAAGAAAGAAAAAACTTGCTTATTTATTTGCGGTTGTGGAAACACGACATAGGAATTTGAGAGACTGATATCACCTGATACATACTCGCGCCAGACTATTGTAAATGTCAGACGGCTCTCAGAGCATTCCCCCTCCCCCCCCCCACCACACACACACACACAACTAACCTTCGCAGTAGCCTAACAGTTTTTGGATACCTCGATTCCTCTCAAAATATCGGGAAATTGTCTCTAGATAAAGATATCCGCCGCTCCCAAGACGCTCCCAGATACCTCTTAAAGGTATTCCAGACACCTGTACCCGACCCAAGATATCTATCTACCCGATCCTTTAAAATAAACTAGATAGATAGTCCAGGAAGCTCAACATGAGCTTTTAGACACAAATGCAGAGAAGGAAGAAACGCAAAAATGGGATTGAGGGACAGAGAATATTAAAAGTGACATGAGAGAGAGAGAGAGAGAGAGAGAGAGAGAGAGAGAGAGAGAGAGAGAGAGAGAGAGAGAGAGAGAGAGTGAGAGAGAGAGAGAGAGAGAGAGAGAGAGAGAGAGAGAGAGAGAGAGAGAGAGAGAGAGAGAGAGGGTGTGAGAGTGTGTGTGAGTGTGTGTGTGAGTGTGTGTGTGAGTGTGTGTGTGTGTGTGTGTGTGTGTGTGTGTGTGTGTGTGTGTGTGTGTGTGTGTGTGTGAGAGAGAGAGAGAGAGAGAGAGAGAGAGAGAGAGAGAGAGAGAGAGAGAGAGAGAGAGAGAGAGAGAGAGAGAGAGAGAGAGAGTGTGTGTGTGTGTGTGTGTGTGTGTGTGTGTGTGTGTGTGTGTGTGTGTGTGTGTGTGTGTGTGTGTGTGTGTGTGTGTGTGTGTGTGTGTGTGTGTGTGTGTGTGTGTGTGTGTGTGTGTGTGTGTGTGTGTGTGTGTGTCGCTTCCATACCGCGGGAAATGGGAATGAATGAAGGAAAGAAGAGTGCCCCTCCCCGGGCTTCTCTCCTAGAGCAAGGAAGGTTGGTGGGAAGACTTCTCGCTGCTTCATTTTGCATTCACTAAAAAAATACCGTTTTAATAAAATATAACAAAAAAGAGGATTTTTTTTATTAATTTTGGGACGTCATTTTAACTTTAATGAAAATGGAAGCCAAACACGGCAGCTTTACAGGTGTCTAACAGCTTTTAATGGAAAATAAACAATGACTTGGTCTGGCACATCCCCCCCCCCCATCTCCCCTCTATACCCCCTCTTTCCCTCCCTCTCCCCTCCCCTCCCCTCCCCGTGCTGGCTTGTTAGAGGGGCTGTTTGCTACTGTATCTTCCTCTTCCACAGTCAGATGTAGCAGAGCCCTTTATCAGTGTTCAACCCTTTATCAGAGAGTGTTCAACCCTTTATCAGAGAGAGGGAGTTCAACCCTTTATCAGAGGGAGTTCAACCCTTTAACATGAGAATTCAATGCTTTATCAGGAGAGTTCAATCATATACCACTTTCTTGACCTCAATAGACAAGTACAATGAAAATATCAATGTTTCTGTACTTCAGATGTATCGGGGGAAACAATACTACCACCACTACGACCACCCGACACAACGACCACCCGACACAACGACCACCCGACACAACGACCACCCGACACCAGGAGAACAGCTGATAGAATAAGTGAATGAAAACCCAGCATTACCAAGGTTGTGACACACACATTGTGTACACAGGTGTCAGATGACACTATCTGCCACAGCTGACGTGGCAGATAGTGTCATCTGTAGTAACCCAACCCGGCCTCGTAATAACACCTCGCATTTTGACGTCTGCGTCACCTAAGGCCAAAAACTGTCATACCAGAAAATAAAAGCGGGTCGCGAAATTGACATAAATGTCCCGTTTTCTGTCCCTGGGTCTTCTGGTAGGTTAGGTTCGGACACTTTTTAGTACGCCAGTTTCTTGACGTTTGGGAACGCTCGCGAAAACGGGCTGGATAACCTTCCTTCGACACTTTCATATCCAGGAAGCGATGCTCAATTGTTTCCTTATATGTTGTGTCCTGTGCGTCCGGTACAGGCGCTCAGGAAACACTTATCCATACACACTCAGACCCCGGCTGAGAGCCACTTGAGGCTATCAGGCCAATTGCTTTATGTTTGCTCTGAAAACACACGTTATCTACATGTACTGATCGCCGGAGGGGGGGGGGCGGGCTCAGACCACGTCTCGGACCATTGATAGAGGGGGGGGGGAGGAAACTATCAGGAGAAAGACCTAACCATTACCACACTGTAGCATTGGGAAGGTCAGGATAAGAATTTGGGATGGGACGGAAGGGGGGAAGGAATGGTACCCAACCACTTTGACGGTCGAGGATTGAACGCCGACCAGCAAGAACCATTCTTCTCGAGTGTGCGCTCAACTCCCCAACCGGGTTGACTGGAGGAATTCCAAGATGACTGGAATGATTCCATCTTTCTAATCCTTCAAAACGCCATTGTCACCCCTCTTGTCCCATCCCTCAGGCATCGTTATATTCCCTCAAGACAAGAAATAAAACTTCACGTAGCTAGAAATCCAATTAACGAAAGGGAGATATGATGACAATATACAAGATACTCAGTAGTCGCAGGCCTAATAACAGTAGTAGTTGTACAGCAGCTGTGGTCTCACAGCAGATGTTTGACGAGAGGGAAGGAGAGAGAGGGGAGGGGTGAGAGAGGGGAGGGGTGAGAGAGAGGGGAGAGATGGAGGGGAGGGGGGTGTTGGTGCAGAGTGGGGGTGAAGAAAGGTAGAGAGTGGTGTGTGAGAGCGGAGAGAGACCCGGGTTCAGCCGGTTACTCGCCCTAGTATCTGACAAGAACACTAGACAAAAAAAAGTGGTTGAAGGGCCGGGCCCAGACCTTTTCACCGCTCCTGGACACCATTCTGACTGTCACTCTCTGCATTCTGATTGACTGATTAAAATATCAATCGCCCTATTTTACCTGTTATTCCCTAGGAATGGGTATGTGTTGACCAACGTCACCGTCTCCAGCACAGACAGACAGACAGACAGACAGAGAGAGAGAGAGAGAGAGAGAGAGAGAGAGAGAGAGAGAGAGAGAGAGAGAGAGAGAGAGAGAGAGAGAGGGGGGGGGGGCATTGCTACCCTCACCAATGCTCAGAAGAGGCCACATATATAGAGCTAACTGGCGGCACTATTTGTTACAAAACATATGGCACTAGAGTTGTTCCACAACGTAGCGAATATCCCGTCGAGCAGGAGTGGCACTTGTGGGGGAGTGGCACTTGTGGGGGGGGGGGAGGGGCACTCGGCAGTTCCCACCATGGGTGCTGGGCAGGGATTGGCCGCTCCTCCACCAATGGGCAGTCTGAGCACAAGTTAATTCGACTCCCGGGGAAAATTACACTGTATTCATAGCGTGCCATTGTTCAACAGATGAATATTAATACCCATAAACGCTACACGTGAATCATACGTAGTCGTTTGTGTATGAATTCTGGAACGGGATGGAGGGGGGGGGGTTAACATAGGGGTTGGGAACAGCCCGAAATGACTACTGTTAACGGCGAAGTGACAACGGAACAACGGCAGAGCGACAACTTTACTACTATAAGGTGACGACAAGGGTGAGTATTCCAACTGAATTACGAAGGTCCTATCCCCTTCCCCCATCCCCCCACAATCCCCTATCCTTCCTAGTCCCACGGAACCCTTGTTAACCGGCCCGGATGGTTAACTGTAGGTGGTAATGGTAGTGAGATGTGGTAGTGAGGTGTTCATTGGTCGTCTACAAAACTTTGGGATCCGTCTCCACTTTGGGATCCGTCTCCACTTTGGGATCAACACAACAAAAGAATACATCTCACAAACATGGATAGCCACAACAGACGAAGAGTCACAATAACGTGGCTGAAATATGTTGACCAGACCACACACTAGAAAGTGAAGGGACGACGACGTTTCGGTCCGTCCTGGACCATTCTCAAGTCGATTGTGTCTCAATCTCAAGTTTCACAATCGACTTGAGAATGGTCCAGGACGGATCGAAACGTCGTCGTCGTCGTCTCATCTTCTGGTGTGTGGTGTGGTCATCATATCATCAGCCACGTTATTGTGACTCATCATCTGCATCTTTTGACAATTCTTTGTCGTTGCTTGGCACTAACTGGGCCACTGACATCATCAAGTCTCTGGACGCGCTCCTACTCTGAGACTATTTTCTCTGCAATTTCATTTCCATAGATGCCTACGTGGCTCTGAACTCAGATAATGATGAAATTGCTTTTGTGTAATAGAAGATTTTGCAGAGGTAAAAAGGAAAAAGTTGTCGAATTAAAATCGATAGTTATGGGTGTCTTTGGCTCGTTTGTCGACGGTATTAATCATTTTATCGTCTTTATCATACGTATTTGATAAGGAACAGTTTGACAGCGAGCATTTCGATTCCATATCTCTTAAGAATTTTGTATGTCGTGATCATTATCTCTTTTTTTAAGGGCGTCTCACATAGGAAGTATACAACGTTCTGAAGAATGCCTTGTCTAGATTTCTGAACGTTAAATGGCTATACTCAACAGCTTTCTCTCACTTGATCTTTGTCACTGTCTTAGAAAGTGTGTGAGTTAGCTGAGCAGAACGCGTCATATCTCAGTATAGAGTGGATAGTGGTCACTCTATCCACAGATTGGATAGTGGCTATCTTACCTATCCTTACTTTAATGAGCCAAAAACACAATACAAATAGTAACGCTGAGGTTGTCAACGTGTTAAGAACGCGTTTGGAACATTAACTTTCCCTGTCCTGAGGAACTTTCTAACTTTCCCCGTGCCGAAGGGATTTTCTACCACCACCGCGCCTCCCCCCGCCCCTTGTCCCAACCACAAACATTTCCCCTCTCTGAGAGGCTGAGCAGGGGGGAAAGAGGGGAAAAGGAGGAAGAGACAGAAGGGAACGTGAGAGGGGGGGGGGAAAGGAGGGGAAACTGACAACCAGAGAACACATAACAAGATGGTGAGAGGGGGAAGAAAATGCGGGAAGAGGACTCGGTGAGGGGAAACACATCACCTGAATGATGGATAAGGGGAAACCCAATAAAACAGAGTGGGTGGGGGGAGGTGGCTCCCCCTACCGTGGTAGAAATTGTAATATGGTGATTGGTGGCCTATGAAGAGGCAGGAAGGATGGCTTCATTTTCCTTAGCTAGAGAGAGTCCTCTATCTAGTATTGGACGTCTCTCTCTCTAAGCATAAAGACTGCTTGTGAGTCTGAAAGTTATGATACGACTATTGTGAGTGAGTTATGAGTGCCGTGAGTCCGAGAGAGGGGCTTACTGGGTGCTGAAGTCAGGGGGTCACCCCTTTTACCCACAGAATATTACTAACCAGGTACTCGAAATAATCTAGTCTACGTCCTCTGGCCCAAAGAAGGGGATTAAACTACCTAGCGAGGCACTGCTGCACGCAATCCCCACCACCGTGAAAAGGTGGATTTTGCAAGAGGGCGGGGGGGAGGGGGGGGGGGATTTAACTGGTTGCAGGTCCTATAAATCGCGTGCTCTTTGATCTAGACTAATTATTGCCTTACGTTTGCAACTACTGAAGTTAAGGTAATTGGCTGGTAATTGTAAGACAGCAGTTTATTGCTGTTCTTAACGAGTTTGGTGACAGTTGCAACAGTCCGTCCTCAAGGAGCTGTACCGGTGACGGTTCAGACATTGCTAAACGTTCAATTTAAATTTAAATTTAAAAAGAAAATTCGTTACTCACCACGTCAATCCTGGGCGTCGGACACTGGCTGAGTCGCGCGTCACTTGCGTCCAACTGGTCGCGGCCGGTTGGTCGGGAGACTGCGGCTGACGACGAGGCCGCAGCGACGCCTGCGACGGAGGGGCAGTGCGGCGCGTACCTGCATGCGGCGCCGCACCAGGCGCAGCGGTACCGCGGGTGCCGCGTGACGCAGAGGGAACAGTCATGGTGGCCGCGGTGGGCGCCCAACACGCCACACTTGTACAGCGTCAGAGGCCGCGCGTCCACCTGGTGGTCGCGGTTCCATACTAGCGTCACCCGCGCCTCGTACTCCCCTTCTGCTGACTCGTAGCGGTAGACGGTGGGTTCGCAGACGACCCGCTGCACCCGCCGGTGTGGCTGCTGCTGGTGGCTGCTGCTGCTGACGGTGGTCGCTGGACTGCTGCTGATGCCTTCCTCTTCCTCTTCTTCAGTCACAACCCGCGCCCCGACCAGCATGGTGGCGCCCTCGATGCTCACCTCACACTGGAAGCCCAGCTGACTCGCCCTTGGCGCCGGCAGGTTCTCCACCAGCAGCTGCAGCTCTGAGCGAGCCCCGTCAGCAGCCAGCAGGTGCGACTGCTCCGTCCAGAACCGCGGACAGAACCCTGAGCCGTGAGCCATCAGCTGCGTCGGGTTCTGCGAAGAACAAGATATACATATCAAACATTACAGCCATAAATTACACCAATCGCTACATATAAGCCAGTCCTTGCAGCCGGCTCCACAGGTCAAACCTGTTGTGCAACTTTTGACAACAGCATCTGTCACGAAGTCTCGATCAAAATACTGTGACATCGTATATTGACAGGGCATGACAATCGTCTTACAAGGTCGCTGCCAGCCAATAGTTACTATGGATTTTAACAAGTATGAAGAAGTATTTGGTTAATGCTAAACTCTACCAGGTTCAAGATAACTGTAGTAATGAATATTTTGTTTAGAAACTACAAACTAAAGAACATAAAACTATGGCCATGGGATCATGAACAAAAAAACAAAAGCATGAACTTTAATTATTAATGAAAAAGACTTCAACGATAAGATGGTCAATATGTTATGTTTCTTTATGGATATATTAGTATCACTCCTCAGGACACACACACACACACACATACATCCATACACAGTTTCAAAAGTAGATTTGATGGAGCCCAATAGGTTCAAGAATCTGTACACCAGTTGATGATTGAGAGGCGGGACCAACAAGCCGAAACTGAACCCCTGTCAGCACAACTAGGTGAGTATACACCCATGCAGAAATATATAATATATATGATAGAGAAAATAGGTAGTGAGTCAGTATATAATACAACCTACGGCTAGACAGGCGGGGTCCAAGAGCTAATCCGGCAAGCACAAATAGGTGAATACATACACACACAAGCCAGTGCATAGACGTGCAGTCTTCTTTTATTATGCAACTGCATAGCCATATTATGCAGAATATGACCCATACAACAATATTTCTGCTTTGAGCGAGCAATGGCCGTACCGTCGAGCGGCGCTTGTTAAGAACTCCCCCATCAGTGAAGACAAGCTGTTTGTCTTCCTCTCGGACCCACTTCAGGCCTCCTGACAGGAACTGTTGCAGTCCATGCGCAGGAAGCTCTCCCGATTTCCTGTTATGTTAGCTGTAGCTACCTCGCATCTGTGCGTTCCTTTCCGATGTGATAGAAACGCACTGGAACGTTCCTTTCCCTGTGCGTCAGCCAATGCATAGGGTTGGTGTCCCACGCTGGATCGAGACACGATATATCCTGTAGCCTGGTGGACAGGTAAGGGACGAAGATTTCACTGGTTCGATGTTCGAAGTACAAAGTTCTTGCTGGTTGACAGCTGGCTGTTCAACATTTTCCTGCTTGCAAGGTCGTCAATAACTATGCCGGTTCTTGAGAGGAACATCTGGCTTGGTATCAAATATCTTCCAGGCAGGCAGGGAGGTTACACCTACATATACAAGTCTTACATTTGCATAGGATTCTATGCTGCCTCAGTATACTGCCTACTTTCGGCGCTCATGGCGGAAGACGTCACCGAAATCACTGCCCCTGGCAAGCAATGTTCTCAATGTCAACGTACTATAGGGGAGCCAGCATCTGCAAGCCTCTTTGAAGGTTGACGCTCCGACCGTCATCCTTCAAAGAGGTTTGCAGGCGCTTGCTACCTTATACTTGTAGGTGCTAGTTACCTTATATTTGCTCCGTCTGGGCTGGGGTTCCGAAACACTGATGAAAGGAATCATTAGTGAGTTTGTTCATTGTACTAGAATCTCTCTCTCCGGTGTCCCACAGGCAAGAAAGATTGCATCCCTCTTACTGTCCACGTTGCAGGCTCTGGCACGCGCACATCCTTGTTTTGTTTTCTAATTCAGCGAAGAAATTCACATCTCTTCTCCAATTTTTGTTTTTTGGGAGGTCCTCATATATCGGAAATTGATACCTGGTTGATGGGGTTCTGGGAGTTGTTCTACTCCCCAAGCCCGGCCCGAGGCCAGGCTTGACTTGTGAGAGTTTGGTCCACCAGGCTGTTGCTTGGAGCGGCCCGAGGCCAGGCTTGACTTGTGAGAGTTTGGTCCACCAGGCTGTTGCTTGGAGCGGCCCGAGGCCAGGCTTGACTTGTGAGAGTTTGGTCCACCAGGCTGTTGCTTGGAGCGGCCCGAGGCCAGGCTTGACTTGTGAGAGTTTGGTCCACCAGGCTGTTGCTTGGAGCGGCCCGCAGGCCCACATATCCACCACAGCCCGATTGGTCCGGCACTTTTTTTATCGGAACTACATTGTCGCTTACACAGGCCGGCTTCGCTGGTCATATTTACCAGCTGCACGACGCAGGCTGCACTCGGGTGTCGAGCTGGAAGGCTGCGGCTTGGCGATGCAGGCTTGGCCAGCTGCATGTGTGCAGAAGCACCAAGCCTGCATCGCCTTCCCAATAACTAATGCCTGCAACATGGTGTGCCTGTGCATGCAGCTGGCTGGTGGTGGCCATCTTGGCTTCGCCGCCTCCGCCCGTTATTTATTCTCTGCAGCATTGCAATGTGCAATTTTAGCCGGCATGTGTGGTGATAGTGGCATAGTGAACGACAGTGGTGCACACTGCCACGAGTCGCTCCCGCCGCAGTGTTCACTCAACATGAACAAACTCCCGCCGCAGTGTTCACTCAACATGAACAAACTCCCGCCGCAGTGTTCACTCAACATGAACAAACTCCCGCCGCAGTGTTCACTCAACATGAACAAACTCCCGCCGCAGTGTTCACTCAACATGAA